GGGTCCTGCTCCCCAGGCCCTGTCCTACAGCCCAAGTTTAGCAGTGCCTACATTTAGGTCTCCATCTGGAGGAGAAGCACACCTAGCTATAGACCACATAAAAGAGCAAGGAACATACTTGATGACCGCTTTATTAAGCGTGTACTTCAATGAGGGAGACAGGTTTCCATCCCAAGACTTTGAATGTTTTCATCTTACAAATTGATTCTGTCTGAACACTTTAAGCCACTGTCTGTCTGCAGCAAATGTGTTCCTATTTAGAGGCTGGTTAGAGGTCCTGTTTAGAGGCTTAGAGCTTTTAATGGTTTACATTTCTTTGTTTTAGGCTTTTCTGTCACATTAATGGTTTCAGCCATGTAGTGTTTTGAAAAAAAGTGGGGAAAGTAAAGGTGTTTGGTCAAGACGGCATGGGAAGTCTAGAGTTAACCTAATGACAGACTGCATATCTTTTATTGTGTGATGTTGTGCTTTAATTTTGATATTTTCTTCATTTTTATGTGCCACTTCAGTCATACCTATGAACAGATTGTGAATATTGTATGTATTTAAATGCAGAGATTTTAGAGATTTGTAACTGTGAACTAAAATTGCTATTTTATCTATTTTAAAACAGTTAACATAAGGACTTCTATAAATTGCTTTTATATCATGTCAGCCAAAGTGGATAATTCTTCTTAGTCTTTAAAATCTTGTTTATCCAATCTATATTTTAGCTGTAATTGTTCACAATTGAAATTTAATATTTCGTAGGGTTGATAAAGATTGTTTCTGTAGCTTTTCAGCTAGCACCCTTTTTTTGTGCTAGCACCCACATATATAGCTCTTATGCATATGTTTTTCAGAAATTGCAGAATAAACAATTATGTTTTGGTTTTCAAAAAAATAAATGCAAAGTATGTATGTTCATAAAAGATATCTGTTCTTGAAAGATGTGGATGTGGCAGGAGATGAAGAAACTTGTGATGAAATGATAAAACATGTCTCACCTGAGCAACTGGGAGAGCAGCTGTTGACCCTTTCCTCATTACCAGAATCAAGGTGGAAGAATCTCCTCAGCCTTGACGTTATCAAGGTAGTATTAGGCACACTGTTACTTATCTACTGTAGTGTTTGGATTGTACCTTTTAAGAGGGAGGTAAAATAAGGGCCATTTCTCCTGTAATGTAAAACAGTTATCTTAACCATTCTCTTGGATGTTTAAGAAATACTTGAGAAGGAGGAAATGGTTCGTAATTTTTGTCATTACTATTTCTGCAACATGTAAAATAGCCATCTGAAGGCAGATATTTCTTGTCAATGCAGCTAATAAGTGGCTATAAAGCTGTTCTAGGTTATGCCTCCAAATCACTGTCGGACATTTCAAAAACCACAAAAAGAGGGAAGGTGCAAAAAACAGTAGTACGCAGCCAAATGTATTTGCCCTAGTTCTATGATCTGCATTTACCTAATCTCAAAATTTCATTCCACTGTTCAGGTATTTTTCAAGATTTTGCAGTAGAAGACTATAGGGTCTTTTCACAATTTCTGGGATTTAGTAGGGGGGCTGTTCTAAATAATAGCTTCATATTTAGTGGCAAAACATTTTACGTGTAGACTTACTTTTCCGTTAGTCTGTGGTATTTTAAAAATAAAACTCTTCATGGAAAATTCCCACATGTTCTTACTAGGATTATGACCTTAATTCAAATATCTAATTAACAGAAAAAGAATAAACCAAAAGAGCCACCAAAAGTTCCCAAGTCAGCTCCTTTCTTCATCCCAACAATTCCTGGTCTTATACCCCAATACATTGCTCCAGAGGAAGAAAAGGATACACAGGTAAATAAAAGAATCAATGTAATAGTGTTTACCTAAGATATTTTGCAAGAAAATCTTTAATGTTTTTTAGTGCTGAGTGAAATCTTGTGAAAGATTTTAAAGTACCAGTTTTAATGCATTTAGATTAATACTTTCTTAAAGTATTTTATTCTGTTACTAGGAAAATAATTAATTGGGATGCAAAAATCTGTTTGCATATTCATGTACACTCTCTTATACTTTCATGATCTAGTCAAAGCTAGTAAACCTTGGAGTACTGGCACGGAAATCTGATTTCTGCATTCATCTTGAAGACGCCCTGAGCACTAATGAATGTAAGTTATCAAGACATTTCACTAAAAATGTAGATGATTATAATATTTTGATATGCATTTGAGTTCTAATGCCAGAAATGTAACATGTGCGAGGAAAAAATTACAGGTAGTACAGTAGCAAAGGCAAAGAGAATGACCTCTTATGTCATTCTTACTAATGTCAGCTTACTAAAATATAAATAGCCAGTCAAGATAAAAGATCCATTGGTGTTCCAGCTTGCCTGCAGCATGGAGTCCAGCTCTAACTAAAATGCTTATAGAGGAAGAAGGTAATATTCCTGAGATTGTTAGACTTTTTTGGAGATTGTGATGATCTCACTCAGAAAAAGTTCTATGTATAATTTGTAGGGTAAGAAAGGAAAGGAATGATCTCCTAAAGAATAGTCTGTGGATTCACCAAAACATGAAAAACATCTTTGCCTAGCAAGTTCTGTTTTGAAGGGCTACTTCACTAAGCATTCAGCAAACCTAGAGCTTCAGTTGATAGCTTTATAATTTCAAGCTTAAAAAGAAATAATTGATATAAAAATGAGCTGTTGGATTTCTTTTAGCATTCAATTCATTTTGATACTCAGTCACTTAAATTGCCTGTGGAATGTGCCTGCTGTTTTCCCTGTTTAACTTGTGCTGCTACAAAGTAATTGAAATTTAGATTTTTTTTTTTTAAATGATTGCTAATATAGCTAGCTTGGGAATGCAAACGGGATGTCACTGTTACCTTGTCCACAAGGCAGTTCTACTGGGAATTTTTCTGTCTCTTTTGAAACTCTTTTGAGATGACCATCTTACTCAACTGCACTTTTAAAACATTTTGTGTGCAGAATGTTATTACATATCAGAAAAGTTGCGTTTTTATGCTGTGTTTTTAGTATTTTAATGTTTATTATTCTATTAAGCTGCTCCAGAGCTGCTCTGAGAACTGTGAAACATCAGGTGAATATTTAAAAACCTAACAAAGTGCCTAGCAACTGGCTATGCTGGGGAGCAAGTGCGCTCCATGATGTGTTGCAGTAGTGGTCCCATGGACCTCCCTCAGGCCAGTGCTCTGTTGTAAAGCAGATGTACTGCTCCTTGTTGGTCCCTGATTCAGGTCCCTGACTTCTGGTGTATGACATGGCTCTGAGGTTGCTAGTTTACTGGCATCTCTTCTAAAGGTGACTAGGCTCTGCAAATAAATAGTAGCCATCCTGGCTTACCATTGGGATGGAGACAGGGTTTTGTACCTCAGATCAGGACTGTGGAACATAGATTGAGCTGGGTACCTTTTGTTATTGTGTACCAACTTTATAGTATGTTCCATGCTTGATTTTTTTAATGTCACAGCACAGAAATGAATTAATGCATCTGTTTAGTACTGTTAACATCACAGTTACATTTAAAACGAACTAATGATTTTCACATAAATCAAATACAGATGGAAACAGATTTATACCGAAGAATATAAGAAGTTGCTTTTCTTAGCAACTTCTTAGCAAAAGAAATATTAATTAGAAGGTATTTTTAAAAATGTTTTTACAAACAGCTATGTTTGCAACTGTACATGTTTTTATTTCTGCATTTTTAAAGCAAATGGATGGAATTCTCAAAGATCAGGTAGGATGGTAGAAATCTTAAGGAAGAACGTCTGTGAAGAGGAGGAAGAAGTTTATAAATTACCTGGGTAAAGATTTCCCCCACCCCTCACCCCACAGGAAATTCAGGAGCAATTCAATTAACAAAAGTAATGATCACCTTAGATGCACTAGGTGATCCTCAATTTAGCTTACTGTCAATAAAAGTAAACACTGTAAAGATTCCTAGTAAAAGTAGTACTCTGACTCTTCTAGAATATATTTGCAGCCTGACGTGCCAAGTACATTTGTTCTTTTTGACAATAAATGTAAAATTACAGTGTTATGTGGTTAGTAAAAAATTTTGTTCAGCTTAAAAGACAGAAAGAGGAAAAAATGTGATGTAAATACAAAGATTTTACTTATATCTTTGAAGGAGAATTTACAAATAAAAATGCAGCTGTCCTGCTAGAGATGTCCTTCTCTGTAGTGTATGATGGGATAGTAAATTAAAGGTAGGATGGCATTTCGTGGAAAACAAAAGTAAGGAAACAGAAACTTGCAACATATAGTCACTGCTTAAGAATTTTGGAGTAAACCTATCCATATGAAGGATTTGTAAGATTCTTTTCTGCACGTTACTGATAGTGTATCCCTCAATTCTTTAACACAGATACAGCTCCTCTTAGCTTACTGAAGAGCTTGGGACCATCTAATATTGAGAGAGAACTAAGGGGTTTGGCCCCTGAAGGTGGTGGTTCAATGGAGGTGATGCTGAGCTTTTTGAGAATGATTGAGATGATGCTGAATAAGAAGTACAACTTTGAACTTTCTCAGGCATACCTTGCACTGTTTTTAAAGGTAACATTTTTCTCATAAGATCTTATATTAGTGCTGTTTAAAATGATGGTTTTCCAGTAAAAGGATGTAAATTGTCTGCTGAAAAGAATTCTCATTAGAGATTTTTGTTGGGGATGGTTTTAAAATGACTAACTGAATGTATTGGATAATTTGACAACTCATCTGGTCACAATTAAGAAAAACTTAAAAAACACAGATACTGTGAAGAGGACCATGCCAGACAGGTTTTATTATAGTATTAGTTACTTAGAATTGTTTTTATTTTTTGTAACATACCGAATTTCCTAATGGTTGTTAATTGCTAAGCTAAGATAAGCTATGTCTTAAGTAAGAAAAACATTCAATGCAGAGTGTTTGGGGAAGTAAAGTAGGCATTTTGTTGAACTTGTAACAAGACATTGCAAGCCTGACTTTTGCTTTGCATGTTAGTGGGCTGCCTTTCATCTGGTACCTATTAAGCATCACAGAACTAATGAAAATATTCCCAGATGTGTGTAAGTTAGAAAGTTGTTGTAATAAAATGTAGAAGCAGTTGCTCTTAGAGAGAAAGTGGTTCTGCAGAAGACTGAAACTTTTTGCTACACAAATGTTTACCTTGTCAAGATACTCTCTGATTTATGCAACTGTGGGAAAGCAATTAATTATAGTTTATTAGGAAAAAGTAGTTATATATATTCAGTGTGTAGTCCTGTAGTCCTGTCTTAACTGAATGTTTCTTAATAGTAATATTGCAGAGTTTGGTCTTAAAGAGTGTAATGCTGGAAAAATGACTTGCTCTTTTCCTTTTGTTTGGGTTAAATAGAATGTGTGGGGCAGCTTCCACAAGAACAAATAGTTTAGACAAATAGGAGTGCAGCTGCAGAGTGAAACACTTAGGCCTGAGGTCTTGATACTCATTCACCAGTGACTTTTTATCATGTCTATTTATGATTAGTCTGTTTTTATTATTCTGGTCCCATGGACTACATATGATTAATAGCTGAAGTATTAGATGTTGGAATTCATCTTTCTGTTTAGTTTGATACAAAAGAAACTTAGCTCTTGCTGGGTAGATTAGAGACAGCTAGGTAATTGGCCTCAGAAATGTATTTCTGACCTGAACTACAGTAGAATAATAAAAACTCACCCTGTGACATATTAATGCAAATGTCTTTTGTAGTAAGTTCCAAGTAAACAGCTCTGAGCTTAAGTTGTAGCCAGGAAAAAAATTATCCCATCCATTAAGTGGTAATAATGTATTGCCTTTGTACAAGATTGAGAGGTTTCTTTTCTTTAGGCTTTACCAGGGTTACTGTTCATTACATAAAGAAATCTCTCTGTATCAGTATAGAGTCAGCTGGCATCCTTCTTGCTTTATGCAACACGGATAATTAAAATAAATAATCCTGACTGTCCTCAGTCAGGGCATCTGTTTAGTCTTTCTAACCTGAAGAGCAATCTGTGATGCAGGTTGGAAAGAGGAGAAAGTTACTGTAGAGAAGTGTGTAATTTAGATAGATTCAGCAGCAGATCTAGTAAAACAGTAACATATTTAAGACATTTTGCTGCCTTATCCCATCTAATACATATGCTTGTAAAATAGCTTGTAAAAGACTAGCAAAAGGGAGACAGCAATTAATTGAAGGAAAAAGTCCTTCTCCTTACTTGGGGCATACCCAAAAGCAAAGTATTGGAACTGAATGAGGAAAGTAATCTTTTAATTTTGTTTATCTGTATTTGTTGTACTAACTACTTGTTTACCTTTTCAGTTACATCTTAAGATTCTTTCATCAGAGCCAAACCTCTTGGAACAAGTATCCAGATTGTCAACACAGCTTGAGGAAACTTGGATTCATATGCGAACTCTCTTCAATCAGAGTCTGTGTGTGTTAACGTATATGAAAAGTGCTTTACTGTAAGATACTTAAGGGTTTTGTCTGCATAAAATTCCCCTCGAAACAATAGTACAACTTTTTACGGAAAATACTGTATTCCAAGAATTATACTGGGACTTCTGATACTGTATTTTATACATCTGTGTATGGCGAAGTATTTTAGAATGTGCATGACTGAGTATTTTTATTCACTTCAGTCTGAGAAAAAATTAGTATGTGCAGCCTAAATATTAATGCTATATTAGTTTGTGCTGTCATGAAACAGTTGGACAGCTATAGGTAATATAGCTAGTTACCTTATGCTTTCATGACCAAAACTGTAAATTGGAATGAAGAAATTACTTGGATAAAAAAAAAAGTGGGAATGTATTTTCTATGCAGGGGCCCAAAACCTATATTGTGCTTAATAAACAATTATTGTTGATGCAAAAATAAAACAGATTGAGTTGTTAACAAATTAGTAACTTTAGTTTAAAGCAAACAAGTATAAAAATTGCATTCCTCTGCAATCAAAGCACTTTTCAGATAAAGTTTGAAAAAATTTTTCTTCTCACTTTGGCAAGCTGTGTTCGCTGTTTTGCCTCAGATACCTCTTTCTGAAAGCAAAGATTTCTAGCTGCACTACAAATGATGGAACTTGGAAAAAACCCCAAAACTAAACAAAAAAACTCCCACCCATTTTTAATAACCAGGTCTTTTTTCTCTAATGTTGAAGGCTCAATTTCTGATGAAAATAGGGATTCTTTTCTTAAGGAGGTAAAGATTACCAGAATAAAAGCTTTGAGTTGTGAGGAATTCTTAATTGAATCAGATGTTATTTTTACAAATTGGTATTTGGGTTTCAAATGATAATGTTTTGGCAGAGTTTTGGAATTCATGAATGAGATTATCTTAAACTTTGCTGTGTGAGAGTACTGTCTCAAAGCAAAAGAATCACCTTAACAAGTCCTTCATTGTATTTCACATGCTCCAGCTACATACACAGACTAACAGAGTAACTAATACAAATGTATGCAATTTTGATGAGAAAACTTGAAAGATGAGTTCATTGCATCTGGCATGAGACTTAAACAGTAGTGTAGTTTTGTTGTTCTGTATACCTGACTTTTTTTAATGGCATGCCATTATGGAACTCTTTTTAGTCATGTATTCTGGAACAAAGCAGTGTAGAGTATAGAATACTGCGTGAAACAAGTGACAATTCAACATGTATCATGAGATCAGCATCCTTTTGGCTTCCCAGATTTGCAGGAAAAGTCATCAAGGTTGCCAAAGGATTGCAGAGGTAATGGGAAGTCAGCTTTTACAACTTCTCTGTGTTGTTCTGACTGTTCTTTGTCCATAACTGACTCATGTTAAAGCTTGAAGAGGACAGAAAAGTATTACGGAAGTTTACAGACTATGGCATTCTAACCAGTTAGAATGGAGAATATGGCATCCATGGGGATAATGTACACTTGAAGTTTTTTTATTAAGTTTACTACTGACTTTTAAGAAAATAATTTGTACTATAAAATGATAAGCTTCTAGTGATGTGGTTCTCAAGAATACATTTCTCCCAGTTCTTAAACAGATCTGAAGCAGTCTCAAATCCTTCATACTTCAAGGTAAAATACATCATAAATCTCTGATCTTAAAGGTATTATTGTAACAAATTTAGAAGATCTCAAGGAGTAATTTTTTTAACAAAGACATTAGAAACATTAAAAGATGAGTAAGTCCGTAGTTGTGAATCTGGCTCAGTGGAAGAAGAAACTGGATAAAGAACTTTCCTCTTGGATCAGAGCAAAGGTCTGTCAAGTCTTGTCTACAGCTGGAGCAAGGAATAGATGCAAAGGGTCTAGCAAACAGGTCACAGATAAAGTGATCCTCTCTCAAGTATATCACACTGGCTTTCAGCAGACAGCTATTAAGATACTTCATGACCCAGCTGTATTCTAACAGTTGTGTTTAATATTATGTGATAGACCTGCTTGTTCTTTGTGAGTTCATCTAATCCCTTTTAAAGCCCATTTATCCTTCACAACATCCTGTAGTAATGGGACCTACAATTTAATTAAATACTAAGGGAAATAATGTATTTCTGTTTGTATACTCCAGGCCTGCTATCTTCTAATGTTGTATGCCCCGCTTATTCAATGTGAGCAGTAATTCTTGTGCATGAGTCTAAATGCTTTACTGCCTCTCAGCCACAGAGCAGTTGTGAAACTGTTTCTACTTGTAAAGGAGATACTTCATTTTACTGAGTGTGCACATGTTTTTTCACTGACAAACAAGAACTTTTTTGGGCATAATTGCTTAAATCTGTGTGTACAAGATTTGTCTATGAAACTCCTCTAAGTTTTCTAGAGGAGGATAATTTTTTTTCATTCTCTTTTTTTCTGGACTGCTTGATGTAATCAGGAGGAGACAGACAAACTTTTTGCCAATTAGGCCATTCTTCTGAAAGCAGAACCAGCAAGCTAAATTTTTGCAAACAATTTATATATAACTCCGTTGGAATAACATTTGCAGTCTGGATGATCTCACTGAATGTGTTAATGCAGTTTCTTATATCATACGCAGACGTGTTTTAAGTCTACCTGGAACACTTCAATCATTTCCTTCAAAAAACAGTCTGTAGATGTTAGTGATATCCCACCTCTATTCTTTTGTCCTTTCCTTAGCATTCCTAGTCATCACTGTGTGACTATTCTTAAAACTGGTTCCACTCTTACTCTGATAGCTCTGATTGAGCTATCTTGTTCTTAGCCTTTTATTTTGTCCTTTTTTTTTCTCTGCATCAAAATGGTGAGCAACATTTTACCATTAATAACTTCTTCAGAAATAAAAAATAATTTCCACTTGCTAGTGGATGCAAGCAGATATTTCACCTGCTACTTCCTGTATTTTTCCTTCACCCAAGATATCAAGGACAATATCTTGTGATAGTAATCAGAAGTTGCAAGTGGTAAGGTATATTACAGTTGAATTTGATAGATTTGGCTTCATGTTACCCTGAAGAACTCACTTTAGCCTTTTGTCATTGTAATGGCATGTGCAGTAGGGTGTGAGAAAAATAACTAGCTGGATTGAGGGACATAGTTTTCTTCCAAGCAGGACAGCTACTGAAGATTCTACTATTCT